ATCACCCTGCTATACCTGTCCTGGGAAATTGTTTAAATTGACACATCAGTTATCTTGTGGAAGGCTGCTAGACTTCAAACAGTGTTTCCAACGAAATCTTTACAGTTTAGAATAAAAGCGTTCAAACTGATGGGGACTTTAGATTCTCATGGCAGTGATAAGTCTTCCTACTCTGAAGACAGAGGCAGCAACTCCTTTCAAAACATTTGTGGGATATCAGTACTTGAAGGGACAACCTGCTGGATGCTGGGTGAAGCTCTTGTCACAGTGGGATAGCAAGTGCTAGTGTCGGCATTTTTCCTTGCAGCAGCCCTGGACTGCGAGTCGGCGCGCCTGCAGGATGCCGGGTGAAGCTCTTGCAGTAGTGGGCTAGCTGGTGCTAGTGATGGCGAGGCTGGCGGTACAATCGTAGTTGTGATATGCAAGCATAAGAGTCAGAGTCAGAATCACATTGCGACTGACGGTCAGTCAGTCTGTCTGTCTTGGTGTCAAGCCCCGGCTGGGACTCATGACTAGGCCCTATAGTATCTACTTAAGACGTTTCTTAGCGGCCTCCGTAGTCTAGAGGTAACGTTCCCACCTCATGACTCGTGGTATGCGGGTTCAAGTACTCGGCGGAGGTCATCGAATTTTTAAGGGCGGAAAAATTCAGGGAACAAGTCCTCCGGGAGGGACTTTAAGCCATGGGTCCCGTGTCGTAGCTTTACGGCACGTAAAAGAACCTCATACCTCCAAAGGAGGTCACTGAGCCAAAATTGCGGACGTTTCCCGCCCAACAGCAGTCACTAATACCTCTGGTAGATGGGGGAAGCATTATAGATACCTCTCAGCTAGTAGAGCCGGTCTCGCTGGCTGGGCGGGACAGATGGTAAGCACCAATACCGGTAGGATATAGAGACTGGTAGAAATCATAGAGGGAAGCACAGTGGCACTACAGGTCTAAGTGCATGGGGAAACCCACCCTCTCCAATAACTAACTAGACGTTTCTTCTTGCTTGAAAGTTACTGTCCTGTCCATGTGTGGTGCCCTCTCTGACAAGAGGTTGGGTCTGTCATTTGTCAGTCATAGTTGATAGTATTAGTCCACTGTCAGTGTGTACAATTATTTACAAGTTTACAGTTATTATTTAATCTTATGTGCAATACATATATACAAGGCCTTTGTCAGTCCAGGCTTTTGGACAGCATACTTAGTAGACATTTCCCATGGCAATGCATAAAATTGATTTTATTTTATTTAGTGCTGAGAATGTAAAGTTATTAAGTAATTTTAATAATGGAAAAGGGTAATTATTTCCTTTCCAAAAATGAGGTATCAGATGTTTAGTTCTGTGAGGTGAATCTGGAATAATTCATGCCCTGATCTACAATATGTAGCAATATCATGTACAAAAATCTATTCTAAATTAAATGTAATGTTTCTGTAACATTCAAGTACCTGAAGATACTGGTCCTACATCGTCCCACAGCCTGGGATTACAATATGCATGATTCAAAAGATTAAAAACAAAGCTGACAGGTACATGAAACAAAAGTGAAATAATGATAACCTTGAAAACACAATACTACAATCAAATGTTACAATATGAAGTTAATCACATTAAACAACCTGTTTTAATATTTGCTGATGATTTCGCAGAACTGCTAGTATGGTAAACATATAACGGATCTCTCTAATTTCATCATGCTTTAGCTACGTTATTTCCCTTTAAATTACATGATTTTCAGTAAACACATTTAGAAGTTACTACTACTAAATAATGAGACAAGATCAAAATTTTGGGTATGTGAATGTGCACTAAAACAGAGAGATTTACAGCATGAAATATACAAATATACAAAGACAAAAATTTATTTTAGCCTTCAAATAAAAGGAAGAAATTATTAGAGTATACTAACAATGGATTTTAGCCATTTGATAATAGTGCCATTCCAGGGCTACACAAACTATTCAGAAAATTTAATTTGTGATCTGTACCTAGGAATGGGTCTAATGGACCTGAACATTGCAAGGAAGAAGAAAAATAGTAGCACTGGCCAGTTATTGTACTTTCAGGTCTGTGGGGTATTCTGGTATGTGATGACAAGGGTGACTGAGAGAGATAATTCTATCTAAAGCATTAACAATACTATTGATGCTGACAAAATAACTTACTTCATTGCACTTCCATTCTTAAAGTGGCTGTGTCAGCTGTCAAAATAAACCACAATAAATATATAATAAAATATTAATTTATAAGGATGCAACAAAATAAGAACTTCAACTGCTACATTTCTGCATGTGTCATGCAGCAAATGTTTTTGTGGTGAACAGTATAGTATCTCCACTTCCATCACTGATATTAGGCTCTGGCTTAACTCCTCTCTCCGCCAGAACATGAGAAAGGATAATTAGGCAACAGCAGCAGCAGCAGTAGTAGTAGTAGTAGTAGTAGTAGCAGTAGTAGTAGTAGAGTAGTAGTAGTAGTAGTAGTAGTAGTAGTAGTAGTAGTGGTAGTAGCAGCAGTCACTGGCTTCATCATATTGTTGTGATACTCTAACAACTTTCATTGTTGTTGTTCTCAGTTGTTTAACTGGAAACATATGTACCTCCTTTGGAATGTTTTGGACTTCATCCATCGTTCGGTATGTAAAAGACAAAAGACAACGACGTTTCGGAGACTGGATCTGTCTCCATCTTCAGATGGGTAGGGAAGGATAAACCTACTCAGTAGCCCTTGAAGTTCATTTATTGTACTGTAGCAAAGCTAATCACACCACACATTTTGCAGCACAGTCAAAAATTGTTTTTCTTATATTTCATAAAATATACATGTTGATGTTTTATACAGTAAACCCTTGATAATGTGGATCAAAATATGAAAAATGCTGTCCACAGTTGAGTACTTATTTACTTACTCATGCAGCTGAGCCCTTCTTGAGGAGCCGCCAATTCTGCAGCTACTCAAGAATTTCCCAGCATTTTATAGAACCTGAAGGTTCATTACCATGTTCATAAGAGCCCTTCACTGGTCCCTATCCTGAGCCAGATCAATCCAATCCATAGCATCCCTTCCTATCTCTCTAGGATCCATTTTAATATTGTCAACCCACCTACGCCTTGGTCTTCCCAATGGTCTCTTTCCTTCTGGCTTTCCCACCAATACCCTATACGCATTCCTCGTCTCCCCCATTCGAGCTACATGACCTGCCCACCTCATCCTCCTTGACTTGATCATTCTAATTATACTTGGAGAAGAGTACAAGTTACGAAACTCCTCATCATGCAGTTTTCTCCAACTTTCTGTCACTTCATCCCTCTTCGGTCCAAATATTTTCCTCAACACCCTATTCTCAAACACCCTCAGTCTATGTTCCTCCCTTAATGTCAGAGACAAAGTTTCACACCCATACAGAACCACAGACAAAATTATATTTTGTATATTCTAATTTTTATGTTTTTGGACATTGGACACATTTTAATCAACCTAACTAGTTTCATGGGTATCCCAAACTCTATTAGATTGTTGTACAATTCTTCCCTCCTAACTGAATCATAAGCTTTCTTGAAGTCTATGAATAGCTGATGTACTGTCTCATCATACACCCATTTTTTCTCCAATATCTGACGAATGCAAAAGATGTGATCTGTAGTTGTGTCCACAGTTGAGTACATACATTAAAAGACATATGGCATTTAGAAAGGCAGATGAGTCACTTGTCTGTCCAGACAAAACTTGAGAGTTTCTTCAAACATGCATTATGTATTATATTAAAAAACATGTACAACTTCTATGTCCTCTATAGAGGAATGAATATATTGTCTTTTCATAGTTTTTAAGTAAAGGTTTGACAGTGATATCTTTTTATTTATTTATTTCCATCAGCGCTACTTATATCATAAAATTTTCCATTTATTTGAGTTCTAAGATCTTTTTGTCTCTCAGGGCTACCGTTCGCTTCACTCATCCAGATTATTGCTTAATTCGGATGACCTTCAAATTAATCCAGATTAGTGAGGATTTACTGTACTAATGTTTTGTAGCATGATTATTTTTTTAGAAAAGTGATAATTTGATTAGAGCCTTATGTGCAGTAGGGATTATTTTAAACTCATACAAACAAAAATTAAATATTCCTCACAACTTTTAGTATTGACATCCCAGTACCAAACTCCTTCAAAATCAGATGAATAGTTTGGCAGATGAAATAAGAACATGACTTTCGCATAATACTTTCATTTTATGTACTTCCTTCAGATAGTACACAACAATACCAGTAAAATTTCTGTTTGTTAGTATAAAACTTTCAAGACATAACGACACAGGATAAGAAGGTAATGGAACTGTTGATGTTTTGGCAGACCAGGTTTTGATCAGTAGGAAATTCTGTCTTTGCCACCATGTGAATGTTATCTGTAGTAGAATCTGCCTCCTATCCAATGGATATTACAATCCCTTTTCCCAGATACAATGTTTACCAGAGCATTACGCTAAGCATTCTTCTTTGTGAGATATGAAGGTCCAGAATGCTGTTACAACTAGTGTAAATATGAAGTTTATATTTGCACATTCAAATACTTTTAGATGGAAATGTATGAGTCAGAACAGCCAAATCAGTATAGCAACTGGCTACAGCTGGATAACACGTTTCATTCCTAGCAAAGGTAGGAATGTTTTCCATTACCATCACATCCAGAGTAAATCTGGGGTCCAACCAGCCTCTTATATGGTGGATACTGTAAAAGAAGTCACTGGAGTGTAAAGCTGACTGCTAAACCCCTTCTACTGCCAAGGTTATGAACACATGGTTATATCTGTATCTCCATTCCCTCACACATGCTTGATTAAGCACATAGACAAATTTACCATATACCTTAGCTAGAAGTGTTTTATACTTGAGTCATATACAGGAGTAAGAATGCCTTATTCTTCCAAGAGAACCTCCGTTATCTATGTTTACAGAAGATACATTAGCAAATGTTCATAACATGTTAAGCCCTGTTGTCATATGTAAAGAGAGTATTTAAGGAGGCTGTGTAAAAAAGATTTACCTCAAACGTGCTGAGTATTTTCATGAAACACGTCTATCCAGGTAAGTTGTTTTCTACTGTAAAAGTGCAGGTCTCTTAAACTTTTGTTAAGAGAGACTTTGTAATTTGCACTAGATATTATATGTAGTAATACAGTATGTGCAGCTCTAGAAATACTTAATTTATATTCATATGTTACTAAATCAGCTCTAATCTGAAAGTATTCAAAACTTTTTCTTCTTGTCTGTGTGTCTAAGATACAGCACATGTAAACCTGTCTTACATAAAGAAAGCAGTCTTCTGGGATGTAGCACCATGTAGATGTGGTGTTAACCGATGTTTCGGAGGAATGTATCGCCTCCATCTTCAGGGTAGAAGGTAAAATAAGAAAATCCACAAGTGAAGAAACAGTGAGAGCAGGTGCGAGCAGACTAATGGCGGAAATAAACTCAGCTAGAAGGGAAGGGACAGGTCTACATGGGAAATCAGTGGAGAGGGAGAGGGAAAGGGTCTGGGGAGCAGAAGCAAGGTTAGAGCAGGTATAGGATATTGGGGAGAAAGGCTGGGGGGTTGCTATGCAAGTCGGTCATGGACTGTGTGGCCTTGTGGATCTGGCATCATGTCCTGGGGGATTTTAGGTTATACGTTCCTCCGAAACGTCGGTTAACACCACATGTACATGGCGCTACATCCCAGAAGACTGCTTTCTTCATAGTCACCACCATGAAAACCTCAAATCTTACTGTCTTACATAAATTGTACAAATAAACATGGAACTACTGAAACTGACATTTCTGCTAGATAAAATGTAAAGAAAAGGAAGGTTAAAGCTTATCTTGTGGATAATGCTAAGAATGTATTGAGAGAGTGGAGGTAAAGCTCCATGCATTCTGACCTTTGATGCCAAATGGAGGTGAGTGGTCAGTTTTGGGCTTAAGTCACTGTACTCCCTAGAAAAGACATGCTGGCACATACTGTACAAGTGGCTTGGTAGGCTCGAGATTGGTATGGATATGGTGTCAAGAGAAAAATCCTGCCCCTTCCAGAAGTCTCGCCTGATCATTCAGCCTGTAGCGAGTTATCTTCCTGTTGATGTATTCAATATTGCAGTTACATACAGTATCAATTACGTTTAATTACCATATGCAGAGTTAATTTTCTTAGTGCATAGTTTATTGAATGATGATATCTGTAGGTCAGACAATTCAATGATACAAGTAGGATGATTAGTAAACTGGAAACAATGCTGAAGGAAGTGGTTGTGATCTAATTTGAGGCACTACACTGACATTAGCCTCACAGGCCTGAGAGAAAACGTGAAAAACCTTTGTCAGGGTAAATAGTGTTTGGCCAAGGCCAATCGAGCACCTTGCAATTACAAATGAGGAGCATTAATACTTCAGCCAAATTGTCCAGTTTTACAAGCATCAAGATGGCAAATTATAATAACATCCTTAACAAAAAATTATTAAGTATGAGACATGATATGTATAGAAGGTAACAGAAACGTTATTACAATATTTTGTTTATATTGCAGGCTGCCAAAATGAAGTCCTGGTTGCTAATTCTTGGAGCTGCCATCACGGTTCTTAATCACGCTTCCCATGCTGCTGCCGAAAGTAAGCTTCATAATGTCAGCCAGTAAATATAAATAACTGATGATACTACAGATATCATGAAAGAATAATGTAACAAATAAACTTTGTAGATCTTATAGGAGCTATATTCTGTTTGAATGATGAGCCTCTTCCTTTCTTTTTTTTTTAAGAAAATCAGTAAATTTCACTTGTAATTTTCATTTCATGCATCCTGTAGTGTTATAATATACAACTTCTTTATTACAACCATCACAACACAACTAATATCATGATCAGTGCCTAGTTTTGGCTCTGCTACATGTTTCGGCTATTAATAGCCATCATCAGGCAAATACATGGTTAACATATATACACCACTGAACTGCAGTACTAGTAAATTGGATACAATATTATTAATTGCATAAAATACTTGACGTAAAAATACAATAAATTAGATTATATAAAACAAAAATAAAATTCTTCAATTGATGTCTTACATCATCGAGTCAGTCGTTGGTTTTATAATTTTGTTGCGTTCCCACGGACAAATTGGAATATTCTATATTTTGTGTATATATAAAATATGTATTGGAGGCTTGTGATGTAGATGTAGTAATATTAATGTTAATTATTTAGTCAGTGCCTCATCTTACAAAGTATTGTCGGTTCTGTAGGGAATGTAAACAACAATTAGTTGTGTTGTGGCGGTTGTAATAAAAAAGTTGTACATTTCACTTGGTTCATCCTGGTCTGTCACACTATAAATAGTATAGAAGATTATTAACGTCATCCACTGTGATTGATAAATGTTGTGTTTTTTAATCTTTCATCCTTTACATGGTTTGGTCAGATCAACTATCTTCAGAAGGATATTATCAATACATACAGAAACTACCATTGCAATGTCATACGTCATTATCATTATATACAGAAACTACATTTACAATGTCATAGATATAAAATATCCTTTAACAATTACTATGATGTGCATGAATTTGTTAGAATATTTATAAATTATTATAATTAGTCTATTTACATACTACTGTTTAAAAAACTTTTTTTTTTTTAAATCTAGAACTAATTTGGTTCATGTCCTTTATACTTCTTCTCTTATTATAAGTAGTCTATTTATATAGTACTGTTTAAAAACCTTTTTTTTTAAAATCTAGAACTAATTTGGTTCATGTCCTTTATACTTCTTCTCTTTAAAGGAAGATGAATGTATTCCACATCGTGATTTCATTGTTTGAAGAATAGGACTGTTTAGTGTCATTGTCCAGTTGTTCAGGCCACACTGTGTTGTTATACTTTAAAACTAGTAAAATCTGTTAAATTTTCAGGTGCTATATATGACAGATATGAATCAGAATTAAAGTTATCTGACAACTCTTAATACCAAATTTTGTCACTATTCATGGAAAAGTCTGCACAAAAACATACAAAGAGACGGAAAAACACAACCTTCCTTGCATCCATTCACTACATTCAAAGGACACATAATAATATGATCAGCAGTTCCACCTTGATCTGAACTTGAATGATATATGTATTTCAAGGTTGGTTACTGGAATCATAAAAGATGATATAGATTAGATGCTGCACTTCATGAAATCTTCCTAAATGAGTATTTTGATATTCTAATGCTAATAATATGGTCTGATGAGGTGAATTTCAGACTGAGTGGCGACAACTGTGTTTATTGAGATGTTACTAATCTCCACAATACCATTGAATTGGTCTGGAGTATCTATGCGGGTTGCTAGTTCCTCGTTTGTTGGCTTAGGTAACTATTTTTTTTGACAGAATGATTCTAAAACTGCTGCAAGAGTATGTGGTACCTGACTTGTAATTACACGCTGACAACTTTCAAGACTTATGCTTCATGCACAAGGAGGAATTTGCACTTTATCTTTATGAAGAATTTTCTCAGTAGAAAGACTGGAAATGTGGTTTCCACAGTGGCCACCATAGTCTCTGGATCTGACAATGACATATACTTGGCTGTGGGGTACAATTAAGGCTAAGGTATACATGAGGAAGAATACAAATATGAATCAACTCTGGGACAGCATTCCACTATCTTGATAGATGGACATGGAGACAAATACCAGGGGTGGCAAAACCTGGCCTACAGGCCTGGTCTGACCAGAAAACAATTTCAATCCAGCCTCCAGCATTTTATTAACACTGAAATACAGTATGTTCAAACTATCTGATTTCTGCATAAACTTGCATATAAACCAAGATTAGTCAGTTACTGGGTTAAAACAGAAGGAAAAACAGATATTGTTATTTCAAATGTTATATGCAACTAGCTTGAAATGGCTGTGAGTCTTTAACAGTCCAAACTCTACTAATTGTATCAAACACCCTACGCTAGTAACTTCAGGAAGTAACCAAATAAAGTAAAGTCTGTGTATGACAGAACACCAAGGAACGTTTTCAGACAGATTTCCATTTAGCAAGGTATCTGCTTTTACACAAACAAATACTGCACAGTATATACATACATAATGCTGTCTACTGCTGCAGTAATTATTAAAGTCAGAAATATGTGATATATATGTACACTACACTGCTACAGTAATATGCTAACATATTTTTCTGCATATATTTTATTGATATTCAGGTTTAAGTCCTTCCCATTTGTGGCACAAATGTTCCTTCTCACATGAATTTCATGCAACACAGAAAGTGTAAAAAGGTAAAGCTATCCCTGTAACACGTTGTGAGATGTCAAGGTTCCCACATGGCAATGGGGTTGTCAGCCTTATGAGCTGGCTGCCCTTTACCCCCAGGTATACCCCTGGTATTCATTTCTGTTAGAGGCTGAGCTGACCTCAGGGCCATAGTGCAGCTAGGAGTAGTAGGTAAATTAAAAAATCCAATGACCTCATCGAGATCTGAACCCACGATCTACTGGCTTGTAGCATAGTGCCTCAACCAACTATGTTACCGCTTGCCCCTCCATGCAACACAGTAAAGAACAAAATTATGTATTACATGAAAGGAGTGCAATATACATTAAGACAAGTTTCTGTCCACTAATTCTTGTTTACTTTTTCTACTTCCACATCAAAAACTTTCCACTTACTGGAGTAATTTTATATTGGGTTTCACTCTGCATTCACAAAGAGCAAGATATTTTCAAATAAATGCAGGTTCCCTTTTAGTTGGTTTTACTATGTTAATAATAATAATAATAATAATAATAATAATAATAATAATAATAATAATAATATATACATACTGTATATGTGATTGTTCCACAGTGATTACTTCATATAACGCTGCCACTCTCAGAAGCATTATGTAATGTGAAATTCATTATTGTAGGGAAAGTGGTCTGTTACTATGGGAGCTGGTCAGTTTATCGTCCTGGAGATGGAAATTTCAGGATCGATTTTATTGATCCTAATCTCTGCACTCACATTATCTACACCTTTGTAGGCATTGGGCTTCAAGGAGACATCAGAATTCTGGATAATTGGAATGAAATTGAGAGGGGTAAGTAGAAAAATGCATAACCAACATATCTTCAAAGTGGCATATATATAAAAGCATGTAAAGAGTGTAAAGCGGCCTCCGTAATCTAGGGGTAATGTTCCCACATCATGACTCAAGGTACGTGGGTTCAAACCCGGCGGAGGTTGTGGAATTTTTAAGGGCAGAAAAATTCAGGGAACAAGTCCTCTGGGAGGGACTTTAAGCCATGGGTCCCGTGTCGTAGATTTACGGCACATAAAAGATCCTCATGTCTCTAGGAGACCTCTGAGCAAAATTAGGTAAAAAGTTTCCTGCCCAAGTAGTTTCCAATGCCTCCAATAGATGGGGAAAGTATCGGGTACCACTTCCAGTAGAGGGGCTGAACAGGGCTGATAGCAAGCACCAGTATCGGAAGGGTATGGCGACTGTAGAATATCAAAGGGGAATGTACAACAGATCAACAACTGGTCGCAGTGCCTGGGGAAACCCACCCCCTCCGATAATGAATGAATGAATGAATGAAAAGAGTGTATATTTAGTAGAAATTTCTGAATAATTCTCCTGAATCTGCATAATAAAAACAAATAACTTGAAACGGTCCTTTGAGATGTGATGCCATATCATTTTGTAGATACGTAGGTTGTACCGCAAGTCATAAGCAACTTTTTTTTTGCATGCAACCTGGGAACAGCAGACAAAAGAGAGTATGGTGGTAGGTGGAACCAGCTTTTGTGTTAACCTTGAGTTTATTGTGACGTCAATAGCTTGCATCACGTGACCAGTATCACTCCTAACAAAATGGCCGACAACCATATGTCGTCTCGCCAGCGTGCTGTCATTGAATTTCTTGTGAAAGAGGAAATCTCTGCTGCAGAAATTCACCAGAGACTTCAGCATGCTTATGGAAGTGTGTACATGGGCGTGAGCAGTGTTCGAAGATGAGTCTCGGAGCGATCATCCTCGAACAGACTCAACTGAACGCAACAAGGAAAGAGTGGATGAGATCATTCAAGATGACAGGCGTGTGACTGTGGACACAATAGCGCGAAAACTTGGAATAGGGCACAGTGCAGTACAGGAGATGATTGAAAGCTTGGGCTATAGGAAAGTTTGTGCTCATTAGGTCCCGCGGTTACTGACCGAAGACCACAAAGGTCAGTGAAAAGCCATCACCTCAGAACTGCTGCAGAGATATCGACACGAAGGCGATGATTTTTGCTCTGTATTGTGACAGGTGATGAAAGCTGGTTTCACCATTTCAAGCCTGAAACGAAACGGCAGAGTATGGAATGGCACCATTTGCATTCTACATCAAAAAAGAAGGCAAAGACAGTGCCATCAGCTGCAAAGGTGATGGGGACAGTCTTCTGGGATGCAGAGGGGTTTATTCCGGCTGATTTCTTGGAACCTGGGCAAACCATCAATGTTGCTCGTTATGTCCAGATGCTGCACAAGCTCCGTCGTGCATTGCATGATAAACGTCTGAGACGAAACATCATCATCCTGAATGACAACGCTCGCCCCCATCCTGCTCGCCTCACAGTGGAAGCAATTGCAAAGATGGGATGGGAAATTTTTCCACACCCCTCCTATAGCCCTGATCTGGCACCCACTGACTACTATCTTTTTGGATTTGTGAAGGATCAGCTGCATGGACAACGTTTTGAGACAAGGGAGGCAATTCAGAAAGCAGTGCGTCAGTGTCTTCAGATGGCTGGAACAGAATTTTACAGAAGGGGAATTTTCAAACTCCCAGAACGCTGGGAGAAATGTGTACAAAGAAGTGGTGATTATGTGGAAAAATAAAGAAAGGTCTGTAGATTGAGGTGGTGTATTTGTTTTGTCAATAATAAAGCATGTTACTTTACAAAAAACTGTTACTCATGACTTTCAGTACAACCCTCGTAGGTACCAATGTTTTGTAGGTAGCTCTGTAACAAGCTCTATTAACATCACATACCAGACCATAATCTTGAGACTTCTCACAAATCTCACAAATTACCTAAGTTCCTAGCACCTTAAATCAGGTGCCAAGTCTGGTTACATAGTCTTGAAAAATGATACTAACAAATGTGATTTATTTGTAAGGACAGCTATGCCACATTTATCTTCCTCCAAAAGGATATTCTGAAGACAATTCTGAGGTTCACTTTGTATAAATTCTTCCCTTGGACCACATATGAAATCTCATCTACCTGCATTGTGCAATACATGCAAATTCTAATTTACTGATAAAATTATCAGTAAATTGTCAGTTTGTCATTAATCATCATACTTGTAATTTGCAGCCTGTCTCATATATCTTCATTAGGTAATGTGAAGGGTTGTTGTTTGTTATGTTTTTTAATAAAGTTTCCTAAGGTAGGCTATTGATTGTAAGTATTGATGAAACTCAGGAATATAAAAGTTGATTTCTCCTGATGAAAGAGTCATACAAATGACCAAAAGAAATAGCCTACAGGCAAGTATATTAATAACCCGTTTATTTATAAAATTGCCATGGCAATACTGGCTGACCATTAGAATAAATTAATATGAAGCAGAATATGACAGAAAAATTACATAATGAGGAGCTTTGTTTTTCATATTCTTCACCAAATGTCACTGTTGTGAAGAAGCACCACTAAGTTAATAAACTTAAATGGGAAAGGTGGGGGAATAATATGTCACAGACTTTCTTATGTGAGCAAAAAAAAAAAAACACTATATGGTAGTTTGAAAATACTAAGTAAACTGTGACTGTTAAACATATAAATACAGCTTGATTTGTTGCACATCATGTGGCAAAGATACACGAAATTCCCCAAAAATGCTACTGTCCTGAATGGTGTCAAATGGGTAGCACTGATGCTTCACATTCAGGATGCCCTGGGTTCTAATCCCAGAAGAGAGATGGGGTATAATGACTGAGGGTTTATGTGGTTGTCCTAAGCCCTAAAGGAAAAGTTTGAGATAATACCTAAAAGAAGCAGTTACTTAGCTGGTCACAAAATTAATCGCTTCTATGGAATCAGACTTACAAGAATTCTTCAGTTAAATCCAGTTAAATCGAATCTATACCTTCACAACCTATTTCTTTAAGGTAAATTTTAATATTATCATCCAATCTATGCCACTGTCCCCCGAACTGTCTCTTCCATTCTACTATTTTCACTAAAATTTTTGATTGATCAATTTTTAATTTTTCTGATATATGGAAGAGGCCCAACCCACCTCATCCTTCTTGACTTAATCACCACAGCCATATTAAAACAGTTCAAATTATGAAGCTTCTAATTATGTAATATTCTTTAGTCATTCATTATATTGTCATGTGTAGGGACGTCTTACAAGATGGGTTTTGGATTAGATGATTGAATTTGTTGCACCCTATACATTCACGACTTGGGACTACAGGTAATACAGCGCTATTGCTGATTTATGCACTTTATAGTTCAGTTACACGTACACTAGGATACTCAGGCCTGGCAATGGATTTACGATCATCTCACTGTAACTTCAAATCAAATCTTCTTTGCACAGTCTAATTTATTTCTTGCCATTTCTTTGACTGTCATCTCCAGAACTCAACCAAATTCTTGACAACTCACTGCTCCCTTGGAAATTCTTGTTAAATGGCCTTGGGGCAGATTCCACAGAAAACATCTTCTATTGTCCTGTACTGTTTTAGGCATGTTTACTGATCCATTCCCTAGCAATAGATGTCCTATTGCTGCGCGCTTTGGCTCCTCTGAGAATGGGTTTACATATCACAATTTCAAACAAAACAAACAAACTCCGTGATTTCAGTCCGCAAGCGAACTATACCAACTGCCTCTGTGGTCTAGTGCCCAGCATTCCTGGCTACAGTTCCAGAGGTCCGGGTTCGATTCTCGGCGCTATCAGATTTTTCTGGAACGGCGTCTGCTCAGCCTCGTGATGATAATTGAGGAGCTATTTAAAGGAAATAGCGGCTCCGGTCTAGAAAACCGAAATTAACGGCCGTGGGGATTCATTGCACTGACCACGCGACACTCTCTATCCGCAAAAGTTGGCACTATCCTCGCCGACAAGCGGCGGTCGGTATATATACATATCACAATATCATCTTTTACAAATTAAAATATTTTTTCTGACCTTTGTTCTCAAACACTATATACTCTTCTCTTAGTGTGAGAAACATACCAACAGGCAAAATGATATGTGGCAAACTCACAGTTATCTGGCATCTGAATATCTAGTATTCTCTTCCAAAACAGTGAAAATTTACCACTGATATAAACTTATCCAAAAACAAATTTGCAATTTGTGTATGTTCATCCATTATGTGATAGTTCTCCCACCCACCACTTACAACACTACCTGTCATATGTATGTAAAATCTTTTACCGATAAATCCATTGTGTCACCTAGAAATCTGCCATGCAAGAACTAAAGCAAATCATGTAGTTCTCACTTTGTACTTGATTTCTGTAACTGCCAGATTCAAGTTATCGGAATACACCATTCCCCATATATGTCAGGTAATGGGAGTTTACTGAAATTCTGTAAATTTAATCTTCAGGATTTTTGATTGGACACAAGAGGATAAAAGATTCTGAACTGAATGGCAGAAAGCATTTTTCATACTTAATCTATTAATGGGAACTTAGCAATATTGTTTTATTATTTTACAGGTGGTTTTCTTCACTTTAATGATCTGAGGAAAAGGAATCCCTCACTCAAGACTTTGGTTGCAATTGGTGGCTGGAATGAAGGATCCTCCACTTTCTCATCGGTAAACTGTTTCCAATGTATTTAGGATTGTGTTTTAATGCTCAGCAGTTGGCACATTAGTAGCGAGCACATGACTGAAAAATATGCTACCATTTCACTTGTTTCCAATTGTTGTAAGGCCAAAGAGTATGAGTAAGGCAGAGCAGCACTTGATACATATAATTGCGAATAGTAATGCACTTTATTGCAGAGCTCCCAGCATTTTTCAGGGAGGGGGAAGATTCTAACAGATACTTCCGGTAAAAGTTCAGTATAGTCAAAGTTAACTTCCTTACTCCTGAGTTCAGATGCCATAAAAGTGAGGTGGGAAGATGGAAAGAGTATAGTAAACAAATATAAACAGAACATATAGAGTAAGGCAAAGTTGTCCCTGTGCTTAATTAAACACTACACCATGAAAGCATATGGGGAGTGCAAGTTTGGCTCCACACATTCTTGGCCTTGACATTTGATGGAAGTGACAGATGAGTTATAATAATACCCATAAATTTGTACTAAAATATATATAAACACAGACTGGAGACATGTGAGACTTTCAACAAAAATATGTATTGACCAGTGAAGCTATAACATATAGTACTGCTTACTAATGAGGTGCAGAGAGAGATCTCTAGGAGAATTGGAGTGGATAGTGCTCAGTATGTTAATGCTAGTAAAGTAAGTAAAGTAAAGTAAAGTAAAGCTATCCCTGTACCAGGCCGAAAGGCCCATAGGGTTGTGAGACGTTGAGGGTCCCACACTATCTCGACAATCGGCTCAAAGATGGCGGTAAGGTTGTCAGCCCTATGTGCCGGCTGCGCTTTACTCCCCAGGAAAATTATTTAATTAATTCCTGGTACTCATTTCTGTTAGAGGCTGAGTGAACTCCAGGGCCATAGTGCGGCTGGAAGGATTAGGTCAATTGAAAAAATCCAAAGACCTCATCAGGACTTGAACCCGCAACCTTCCAGCTTGTAGCATAGCCCTTCAACCAACTATGCTACCGCGTGCCCCCATGGTAATGCTAGTACAAAAAGGAAATGTATCCACGAAAGTGCAGACACATTTTAGATTTCTGATATGGAAATAAGACAACGGTATTCCTGTAATCTTATGAAGACAAAGCTCAAGAAGGGATAATGAAGTTTCAGATTTAGTGTTTGTTTAAGGTAGAAATTATAACGACAATTTTCCAATTACAACATCCAGAGTAGAACCATAGATTAACAGAAGACTGGGTTAACACATACAAATTTATGACTCAAAAGGTGCAGGAATTTAAATGTGTAATTTATTTTTGAGCCTGCTCTCAACAGTAATGAAAAATGATATCAGCTATTACTATATACTTTACATTATTACCACATACTACCATTCATGGACTTGTGTACATGATGATAAACTGTTGGGGGCTGTCAGTTCTTACTAACTTCTCATATGGAAAAGGTCATGGCAGCCAAATTCTTAAATTCAGTCCACAGTTGAAGTGTTTGTATTATGCCAGGTAATTAGTTATTTTCTCCACAAAAACATTTCTATAAAATCTGCAATGTGAAAGTTCTCAACATAGCCATTTGCAACTTTTAGCTTTTTAGTTTCTTGGCTCCAAAGCCACTTGAAGAACACTAATGGTTATGACCTACACAGCTCCTACAAGGCGTCCTCTTTTAACCTCATCATTACCAACGATATTGTTATATTGTAAACATCAACATACACTGAATGCAATAACCTGTGTTGTGGAAAGTAAGCACTGTTATCCACATTCCAAAACATTCTGAAAGCAGTCCATTTTTGTATGTATTGTACTTGACAGCACTGTGCTTAGTGCCTTGGTAAGATGCAGTTGATTTTTCTCTAAGAGCATTTTGACAAATGAGAAAATGTCTAATACAGCACAAAACATTCTGCAAACAAGATGATATAGTATACTAATCAGTACAAAGGATAGTAACCACCAGGCTGATACATAGTGGACTGGAAGCCAGAGTCTGTTTGTAGGAGTTAACATTTCTAATTCCTGTGACATTGTTTCTAGGTGGTGAATGATGCATCTCGAAGGGCTGCGTTTGTAAACAATATTGTTAAGTTTGTTGGAGAATATGGATTTGATGGATTTGACTTGGACTGGGAATACCCTGCTCAACGAGGAGGCGCAGCAACTGACAAGGTACGATGACCACATCTATTACACTAAAGGGTTTTTTTAAGAGGTTGAAGGAAAGAATTCAACACATAGCAACATACAAACCTCACATACACAATGTCTACTGTTTGGAGTACATGTACATGTACAATTGTAAATAGGTGTATATATATATATACAGTAAAACCGGTCTTAAACGGAATCTCAAGGGGCCAGAAAAAATTTCCACTGAAGTCAGGTTTCCATTTAATCAAGGAATACTATAATAACTAAACCAGGACATAAACGTATTTGAGACAAAACAAAACAACATGCTCATTAATTTATTCACACTATAATCATTGAAAACATGCAAACATTACATGAACGGGAAAAAATGCAGTACTCACTTTTTATAATTTTACCAGAACTCTGGCAGAATTTTTTGCACGCAGTTTACTCTCTTGGCTGCCTGACTTTCCACAAACACTTTAGCTTGAGAAATTACAGTAAGCATGTCTGAATCATTCCATTGCATGGCAGACTCCTGCAGTACCTTTAAACTGTTGGCAGCATCCTGATAAGTCTTCACTGTACACTTTTCTTCTTCTATCACAATGTCATTTTCCTCTTCTTCCTCTTCCTCCTCCTCCTCCTCTATTCCTTTTCGATTTTCTCTAAAATTCTCAAATAATACGTCAATATCCATTGTGTCTGGTTCTGTTTGCACATTTTTGTCTATGTTGATGTCGTCCTCAGCATTGCAGTTACTGAAAGCAGCTTCATTCATGCAATGTTGTAAGTCCTTCTGGTCATTCTCATTTTCTACACTAGGAGTGTAGTGTACCGTAAGCGGCCTCCATAGTCTAGGGGTAACGTTCCCACCTCATGCCTCAAGGTACGTGGGTTCAAACCCGGCGGAGGTCGTGGAATTTTTAAGGGCGGAAAAATTCAGGGAAAAAGTCCTCTGGGAGGGACTTTAAGCCGTGGGTCCCGTGTCGTAGATTTGAGGAACGTAAAAGATCCTCATGTCTCTAGGAGACCTCTGAGCAAAATTAGGCAACAATTTCCTGTCCAAGTAGTTTCCAATGCCTCTGGTAGATGGGGGAAATATCAGGTACCGATGGCCGACCTCGTTGGCTGAATGGGGCTGATACCATGCACCAGTACCGGTAGGGTATGGCGACAGTAGAAATTAAAGGGGGACGCACAATGGACCAATAACTGGTCTAAGTGCATGGGGAAACCCACTCCCTCTAATAATAATAACAATAATTATTGTTATTATTATTAGAGGGAGTGGGTTTCCCCATGCAGGATTTTCTACGGTAGAAGTTTATTATTATTATTATAATAATAATAATAAACTTTTACCATAGAAAATCCTGCTTTTTCAAAACACTTTGTCACAGTTTCTGGTAACAACTTCTTTACTGCTTGACTTATCCAAATAACTGCATCTGGAACCGAGACAGTTCTTGCAAGTTCAGAGGTGGATGATGTAGAATCTATATTGACGAGAAAAGATTGCATTAATAATTTACGATAGTGGACCTTAACATTCCGAATGATGCCCTGATCCATTGGTTGAGAAACACTAGTGGTGTTTGGAGGGAACCAAGCAAGTCGCACGTTGGAAAGTCCGATATGGGGGGGTGGCATGTTGCGTTATCCAAGAACAGCAAAACATGCCGGTTTTGTATTTTCATTCCACCACTGAAGGCCATTAACCATTCCTCCATGATCTGTGACGTCATCAAAGCCTTTTTGTTGGATCTCCACTCAACGGGAAGTTTCTGTATGTCCATGTTTTGGAAGCATCGTGGCTTTGCTGCCTTGCCTTGCCCCAGTTTTTCAGCGACTTTTTAGCATATTCCTGTACCATATGACCCGACAACCGGTGATTTTTCGCCCTCACACTGACAAACCACTCCCCCACTGATTTCATTAACGTCTTCGTTTGCAGTTTTCTTAAGTTCTCTTTTTATTTTTCCATTAGCACAAGTTTCCCACTGCTTCAAAATTTCCGTTTTCTTCTTTAGAATTTCATACACTTGAGTTTTACTGACGTTAAACATCTTCATGATCTGCTTAACAGACAATTTATCTCGCTCACTCGCATGAATCACTTTTAATCTTGTGTTAAGATCAAGCACAACTCTTGTCTCTGTAGCCATGATGACAGCTGCTAGACTAAAGTAAAACTGTAGGCCTAGAGCCCTTACTGAATACAATTTCCAGAAGGGGAAAACAATTCTGCTGAATCTTGGTGCAGTACCGTTAGAAGCTTATTTTAAAGAGTTATACATTCTGTAGAATGTATAGGATGCCTAAAATTATTCTAAACGATGCATTCCGGAAGACTGGAAATTTTCTGTATAAAGGCTTATTTTGATTTCCGTTGTCCGCGTTAGGCAGTTTCCGTTTAATCCAGGTTATTTAACATCTTTTTCAGCCCTAAAGTCAAGGGACCTGAAAATATTTCCATTTAAGACAGATTTCCGTTTAAGGCAGGTTTTACTGTATAACATTTTGGAGATGCTGCTGCTCCTGACTTATGGGGATTGTCATTATACTAACAGAATCAGTTTAACGTTTACGTTTTTTTTAATACGACAGTATTCAAAGTACAGGAGGCTGGGTGGGCATGGGTGGGCACTAGAGCTGGTCTGGAACGCTGGAGTAGATAAAAACTTCTTAACCTACTGTGAATCAAACCATGGGTGTCCAGCCCATAGCCCACTGCTATACTGGCTCTCTTAAACTCAAGGGTAGCAATGTTAAATCAATTTTCACTGTATGACCACAACTCTGCTGTTCCTATGCCCACATACCACCCACTTCCTTGGTGGTCAGATGTGCATAAGCATCTGGAATACTGCGATTTTTACTTTGAACGGTAATAATGTGAATCAAGCAGCTAACGTTTATTTTAGTGACCCAAGCCAGGAACTGAATGGTTATTTACAAATTAAAAAGATGACACTAATCTATTTTTGAAGAAAAATCACTACAGGTTCATGGGTCACAAAAAGAATATGATACACATGGCCCATCTGATTTAGACAACCACTACATAGACAAATAAGTTTCCTTTCCTTTTAGTAAAGATTATGAGCAAGAGAACTGCAGACTAGAGGACTAATTGTAAGATTTGAGGCTTTCACGGCGGTGACTATATATACACGGTGCCAAATCCCAGAAGACTGCATTCTTCATAGAGGACTAATTAGCTAACAGTTCAGCAGTGACTGCATATAACAGAACACTTATAATTCACTGATTTCTTTCAGGCTGTCTTTTCACTTCTGATTAAGGAACTTCGTCAGAAATTTGATAAGCATGGATACCTACTGTCGGCAGCTGTAGCAGCTACCAAGTCCAGTGCAAGTATTTCATACAACATTCGTGAACTAGGAAAGTAAGTCTCAGTTTATTCAGAAATCTTAATTCCATTATATTCTTTGGTTGTGTATTATAATGGACATTAATGATTACCGGACAAGTTTATCAAATCTTTTCTGACAGTTTTTTTTCTTTCCTTCTTCATGCAACAACCCTTTTCAACTGTCCAGGTCAGCAGTGTTTACCATTTTCAGATTTACAGAACAGAAGAACAGCAGAAGGTTTTCTAAAAGCCAGTTCTCTATCTGCCTCATACTACACAATACAGATCTAATTCTTAGTAACCATAATTATTTTCAACATAAAAAGTATTGTTTTATGTGACATTAGAATCTAAGTGACCCCATAATCATCCGCACCAAATATGCTCAATTAAAAATGATGTACACAGACCCATAAAATAATTTAAAATATCAGAAAATATTCCTAAATATTTGGACAGACACAGACATTTTGCCCTCCACATATTAACGTTAAATGCAAAACTATTAATTACTGAAATAAAGAAAAAGAGCATAAATAGCATTCTTTTTCCACCTTTGATAAATTACAAGGTATTATGTGGCAGTAACTTAAACACAGACCAAAACTACATAAATACTGTTTTATATGACAGAGTATGAAGCTAGAAGATGATTGTTAATAATAAGTTCAGAGACTTAAATATAAATCAGCATACAAGCCAAGGCTTAAAGAGGTAAATAACAGAAAAAAAATGGGGATAATTCGAAGTTTTCTAAGTGTAAAAACAGTTAGTATTTTAATTGTGATTTTAACTTATTTATAAAATTAGATCAAATCTATATACTGATGATTATTCTATCTAGAATAAACTAAACTGAGCAGGTTGGTGAACAGCTGTGCTCTAGATGTGTATTTGAAGGACACTCCAGTCATAATTAGGGCAGGTTAACACATATCCTGACAAGGTGTTTATCATTTACCTCAGTTTTTGCAAGTTAATGCCAAGATAATAAATACATTGAAATATGTCAAAACTGCTTCCTTTCAGATTCTCACCTACCGATGATTCACGATAATAATGCTCATACTAACTCACCATACCCTATTTTTTAAAATTCATTTTAATACTAACCTTCCATTGATACCTAGTTGTTCCAAATGGTCTCTTCGCATGATCTTTACCAACCAACATTCTGTATGCATGTTTCATCATGCATTACTTGACCTCGCCATCTCATCCTCCTTGACTCAATTACCAGTACTAATACAAGGATACAAAATAGCACTCTTGTCTGGGAACAAAAGCATTCATTGCCACATTTCTCTTCAGGTACCTGGATTTTATTAATGTCATGACTTATGACCTGCATGGACCATGGGATCCTGTAACAGGGCACAATGCTCCACTCTATGCCGGTTCCAATGATGATGGCCTGACTGTGGTAAGTAGGCATTACACATCTGGTGACTGTACACTGTCATGCACTGCTTGTACTAGTTAGAGAGATGATCACTCAGTTCTCTTTACTTCCATGGGAGCCCTAGGTAAATAATGCAAGGTCATGAGGAGGTAAGCCAGAGATATGAAACCAGGTCTCAGAGCCAGTCTGGACATACAATAAAAGCAATGCACAGCCAATCATTTTACTGGCTGAGCTGTCCAGTTTAACTGTTTATGAGAAAGCAACAGCTGTCTATTGTATTTCATCTTCCTAGACGACAAATGAACACTTCACTTTCAGTGACACCTGAGAAGTATGTAATGCCAACAACTTTCATGGGTTACTTTTACAAAAGACCTTCAGTTAAATATTATGTAATGCTTCAATTAGGGCCAGGGCTGAAAATGAAGGTAGACATCATCTACCTAATTCTAGTCAACATTTCGTGAACTTGCAAATGGCAGTGAAGACACATTTCTCTTGAACCTGCATTATGATATTTGTCTTTATAATATACTGAAACGTGAATGGCTAGAGCATTTCTAGGCAACAACCTGGTAACAACCTTCAGTTGAGTGCGTTACAACAATAAGAGAAATTTTTATAGCCCGCTGCTAGGTGCTTGTCAGCGCAACAATGGACTGACGAGATATCAGGTGACATATTTTCTGTGTGGTCTGCACCATCAACAATAGAACTGCTTCTTATGCGGTCCATGCTACGGCTATATATTGGTCACTGTCAGCTGTAAGTTCAGAGCGAATTGGAACCAGGAGTAGCGAAGAATAGAGGAGGTTGGCATGTGAGGATTTAAAAGTGTGATTAGGAGATTTTATTTATGTGTAATATTTGAAGTGATTAGAAGCACTAGTTCCTTTGTTTTAATTGCATTACCAGGAAAGGACTAGTGTGTAACAGTGGATTATAGTGTGTAAATCAGTGAAGGTGCTGTACTTCCTGTATTTAAGTGTGATTCAGAGAGATTGTATAATCAGAGTGCTAATAAATCCAATCATCCAAACTAGAACTTTGTCATGTGTACCACCCTACACATGACATTGCCCAGGTTTTTAAACTGATGCTTGAGTGCCTATGTAGTTATGAAATGCCATTTCTGCCTCTGGTTAGGGCTGGTAATGACCGTAGGCATGGGCATATTAGAGCACCAGAATACACCTTCCCACTCTTTTCTTACAAAATTGGATTACATTATTTATGATAAATAACAACTGTAATAATGAAGGTGTTCAAGAATTCTTTCCAGTTGCACATGCAGTGTTTTCGTGCATATGAACATCCGAGTCATTTTACTGATATGAACACAGAATTTCCACCACACAGATATAATCTCTATATGTTAGGGACAATGAATTCCTATAATGGACATAACAGAGGAGGCAGTGTATTTAAATTATCATCAACAAAAGGTTAGTATAATTAGTTCTGGATAAAATTAACAATGCCTACTTACTCTTGTAGCCAAATAAATGATAGAACATTCAAATATATATAACATTTGTGTAATAACAGATATTCATCCCAACTCCACCAACCAATTATTTGAGATGACCTCTTTTCCCTTCAGTGTACAAATTCATGCACTGATAAAAGAGTATTCCTTTGAGAATGGTATCTTATACATAAATTCTAGTGAGGTAATTATACATAAAAATTAAGGCAAACACACTTCCTGAAACGAAGATCCAGACAAGATTAAAACATGCACCTCATTACTAGGTATCAACAACTTGAAATCATTTTAACTCATCATAATCACTAGTTTCTTAAGAAACTTCACATGGTCAACATGGGGTGGTCTTACAGTTTGTGGTCTGTAAGTGAGGCTAAATCCCATCATAATCACTACTTTCTTAATGACTCACAGACATTAGTTTCGTACAGATTCACAAAAGAGTGACATGTGTCTTGGCATGACTATTATTGATTGCAATGCAGCATGTATGAAAAATAACAAACATGTGAAAGATTTCTATAGGCAGACCTGATGGAAACAGACCATTAAGTACAGGAAAAACTGCTCTGCTTGCCACCTGCTTTCATGCTGGTATCTTGCTTGGTTTATTTTTGACTCCGAAGATGGAGGCGATGTTCATCAGACTACACGGCATTATATCCTGGAAGATAGTATTCTTCTTAACCACTGCCTTGAGAACCTCAAGTCCTAAATAATAAAACAGATTTCAGGAAAACATATGAATTAGACTGGTTCAGAAGTACTATATCCGATTATGCATTTTGTGGTGATGAAGAAATTCTCTTGGAACTTTCTACAAAGATAATTGCACTGGAGGTTGTACTTAAACCACATTCTTTAAATGCCAACCTTTGACCATTCCAGTATGGTGGCTATGTAAAATTCTGAAGTTGGTACATGAATGGCATCATTTAGTGTAAGAAACAGAAAGTGTGTGATGATGATGTAACTCTAAAAATAGTCTATCACCTCTCGTCATACTTGATGTAATGAGGTTGACTGCAGTAGTCTGTTCAAATATAATGAAATCAAAAATTATTTCACCTAATTTCCACTTTTCACAAATTGACTTTACTAAATGTTGACTAAATATTTTGTAAGACACTTCTACTGTTGTTTGAAGGGCACCAACATATAAATACGAAAAGGACCAACATGTGAAGATGAAAAACAATAATTATTTGAAAAGAACTAACACATGAACATACAAAACAATGAAGTCATCTCTGAAACCAGTGGAACATAGCCATTATTGGTTCAGGCATCACTTGTTTATACCACTGTGCTGGAAACATTCATGAAAATTAATTAATGCAAGTACACTACACAGTAACTACCACAACAAATCTTGGTAAAGGAACCTAAAGGTTCACTACCATTAACACCAAAGATCCTCTGCTTGATCCATCCAACCCCCATTCTCACAACCTAGCTTACTACGATCCTAATGTTATCCTTTCATCTCCTTATCACTCTTACAAAGGATAGCTTTCAATGCTTTATCCACCAATTTCACATGCATCACTTGTGTCCTTACAGCACAGCGTCCTCCTGATGTATCACTGTTACCAATCCATACTGGATGTGGTTATTTCTCTTTTGGGCGCAAATGTTGTAAAACATTCTTGTCTTGTTAGGATGCTGCCATACAATACTGGATCAAGGAAGGGGCTCCAAGTGAGAAGGTCATATTGGGCATTGGAACATATGGACGGTCTTTCACATTGAGTAGTAGTGTAAATGACTGCATCATTGGAGCCCCAGCAACTGGAGCAGGACATGCTGGACCTTACACAAGAGAGGGAGGCAATCTTGGATACAATGAGGTAAGTTACTTGGCACTTGGTTATAAAATTACAGATAAACTGAACTACACTTCCATACTGTAATTTTGGTAACCAAACACCAAACTATAAGAAATATAATCATAACCACACATATAACTCAAATTTCACCAACAAGAATTCCTCTAGGTTGATCATACAGGTTACTTACTATGGTAACAGCTTAATTAAGCGGCCTCTGTAGTCTAGAGGTAATGTTCCCACCTCATGACTCGTGGTACGCAGGTTCAAACCTGGCGGAGGTCGTGGAATTTTTAAGGGCGGAAAAATTCAGGGAACAAGTCCTCTGGGAGGGACTTTTAAGCCATGGGTCCCGTGTCATAGCTTTACTGCACGTAAAAGAACCTCATATCTCCAAAGGAGGTCACTGAGCTAAATTCAGGACGTTTCCCGCCCAACAGTAGTCTCTAACGCCTCTGATAGATGGGGGAAGCATTATAGATACCGTCAAGCCAGTAGAGGCCGAACTCGCTGGCTCGGTCGGGACTGATGGTATGCACCAATATCGGTAGGGTGTAGAGACTGGTAGAATATCATAGAGGGAAGCACAATGAACCAATACTGGTCTAAGTGCATGGGGAAACCCACCCTCTCCAATAACTAACTAACAGCTTAATTATTTATTATACTATATATGGATTATTAGTAAACTGAATTTTTATATGGTAATCATTTACTGCCAATTCAATTAAATCAGGCAGCACAGTGACTGGCACCCTGCCTCATATTTAGATGATTTTAGGTTTGATTTTCAAATCAGAGATCAGCTGTTCCATCTGAGGTTTTCATCAGTTCTTACAGGCTAATTTTTACAACTTACCAATTTCTGAGTTGTTGTACTGAGTACAGCAGCATTTTACAAATTCTTACGCAATCAAGTACCAACAGTTTCAGTATTCAGTGCAATGAATCAATTGATTTATAAGTTGGACATTAATGTCACCGTTTTGTAATCTATAAAACAAGATTTGGAATTGATAGAATGCATAATAAACTAAACTTTCAATTTTGGATCTCTTAAACTAGGTCACCACTGTTTCTTTCCATACTTTCTCCAAATCAGTGTTTATGGCATATTCCATTCAACACTACGTAACCTAGGTCTGGGAAAAACAATTAAATAAAGTAAGAAGCAAACACTGCTTTCATCTTCAGCCAGACAAGCAACGTCATATTTTTATAATACTTCTCAATTTTGTTATCAGAATTCTATAGTTAAATATATTTTGATCTCTGACCATTAAAAGAAGAATCATAAATCTTATTTAAACAAACACAGCTCTTAAAGAATGAGGTTATTAATACATATTTTTTCTCAAATTCCTAATTTTTTGACAAGGCAAGAAGTTTGAAGAGATATTTTTACATAGTTGGAAAGACTGTGTCAATTGAAAGGTCAGTACTCCTCTGATAGGTGCAAAATGACAATGGATGAAAGCTGCAACTGCTGAATTACTAGCAATCAGATATAGTACACCTATACAGATATTCTGTTATAATCCTGAGGCATCTGTGTAAAGACCTTTGAATTGGTCAGCCAGATCAATATAGGGTTCAATGTTAATAAACCTTTGCATTCCCTAAAACGAAAACATTTCTTGGACAGCCGAACAACTATAAAGTTAAAAAAATCTCTGCACCACACAGGTAGTTAGCTATTTCATGTAGGCAGAATCAAATAGTATGCCTATGGGTTCACCACTTTGCTTCTTCTTAAATTCAGAAAGGATGCAAATTATTACTTTGGCAAATATATTTAAGAAATCATGAACTATGTCAGATGGTGTACCATATTAGATTTGTATTCAGGAGATACCCTTCTCAAGCACATCAGCCAGGCACATGGTTTCTGTGAAGCGTTTCATGGTTTTCCCAGTCACTCCAGGTGACTACCAGGTTTAAATAGATCACAATCACTCCTTCCAAATCCTTATCCACTTACCAGCAATGACCATCTTCCAATCTCATTTGATGCTATATAACTTATGTACTTGAAACAGAGTCATTAAATAATCTAAGAATGAATCAAACAACTATACTGGGAATTACAATATAAATAAAAAAATGATCATAATCAGAAACATCAACATTAATTAAAATAAGGTAGCAGAAGTAGCCACATTACTGTTATGATTCAGGGGCCAAAGAACGGACTCAGAACCTTTTAAAAATAAGAAATTGTAAGGCCTCATATCTTCGGCAGAAATGACCAGATAAAAAAACAGTGACTTCTAAAATAGCTGAAACAGATATATGGAATCAATGGCATGAAACTAAATATAAGAAAATTACAAAATCCATGCATTTTAATTATCTGTAAATTATTTCCAGTTTTCTTTCCCTTGAAAAACTTCTGACAAAGAAACTTTGCCTCCAATTTGCAAATTACACTGTATAATTTTCCATTTTTACAGATCTGTGAAAACCAGTCAAAATATACTGTGCGATGGGATGAACAGCAGAAGGTACCATTTGCATGCTTCAGAGACCAGTGGGTTGGATATGATGATATCAAATCTGTTACATATAAGGTAAGAAATCGGTTCATATGGGCCCTAGTGAGAACACTAATGCACAAGAGACCCAGCAGCACTCTGAGGGCTTGAGGGGATTGGAGGTTATAATGGCCCCCTCCCCCGCCCCAACCCAATGCCAATACAAAATACTTAAGACACATTCACATATGAATTAAAGCTTTAGTAATGAAACTTACATCACCTATTTAACTGTTACAGCATACAGAACAGTCTCTCCTAAACATTTATTTTAAACTGAGTGTATTTCACACTTGAGACTGCACACTGTATGAAGTATATTTAGAGTTTTTTGAGGGATTAGTGAATTTGAAAACTAATGTGAGGAAAATTTTAAACAGAGGAAATTTAACACTGATATGCAGGGCCCCGATTTTTATGACCTAAAAGTATAAATATATGCATGCACTTATGACCCAGAATTATGTCAAATATGACCTAAAAAGTGTAAAATATGACCTTAAATATTAAATGGGACATAAAATTTCACAATTTTAATTACAACTTTTACTAGAGTTTAAGAATAAAGATGATGAATATATGATAGTAGGTCCTACTTACCAAATTAGCCCTATTATGTCTCTAAAGGAAAGAAAACTGATGGAATTTCGACATTTCGTACTGGATTAAACCATTCATTGTTTTCTTTTTAATACTGATAATTGCGTTCATATTTTAGACAAACACTGGTGCACATGGTATGAACACTAACTTAACTCTGTTATCTAAAAACACCATTTAAAAGAACACAAGCTATTCACGTCTCAATTTTCACTGTTACAATTGCAATTTATAACTACATGCATTTTCAAATTTTCAAATTTGAAAGATCGCCGATTATCACTAAGGATAGTTTTGTATTTGGAAAAACTTCGTTCCACATCACATGATGTGACAGGAGCATATTTGAAGAATGTCAAGTCGTTTGGTGACAGTTCTGTATCATCTTCGAATGTTGCTAGTTTACCGGAAAGTATATCTGCAATCTTGCATAATGTTGAATAACCAGCATTCCGATGAAGAACACTTTCTATTTTGGTTTTAATCCTGTCACTTATTTCACCACGAGTTCGGTTTAGTTCATTCTCAATGCTCTTTACAGTGTCCAACGCGTCACAGAGTTCAGTCCCTACAAATTCCAGGCGAGTTATTGCACCTGAAATTGAACAGAAGTTTGACTTTATGTATGCCAGATTTTGTGCTAGAGTGGTAGAGAATAAGTCCTTGACAGCTTTAATTGATGTTGACTCACTGCTGTCAAAGCCATTAAACATTTTCTCAATGGCTGTGTAATTTTCACAATAATATGCCACAGCATCCAACCATGTACCCCACCGTGTGACGACAGGCTGTGGAGGAAGTGGCAGTAGAGGAGCTTCTTGTTTAAATTTCTGCACTCGAAGAGGGGCCTTGATGAATATTTTCTTTCCGTTTGAAACTAGCCTATCTACATCAGGAAAATGTCCTCGAACTTCTTCAGCCACTCTATGCAATGCATGAGCGAGGCAAGTAATATGGACCATTTTCGGGTAGAGGATTCGAAGTCCTTTGGCAGCCTTCTTCATGTATGGAGCGGCATCTGTTACTAGGAGAAGGACATTATTTCGCTGTATTCCATTTGGCCACAACAACTTCATGGAATTATCAAATAGGACAGCTATAGTCGAATGATTTGCTCTTTCGAGAACTTCACAGTCAAGAAGAAATCTCTCTCCAGGTTGATCTTGTTTCAGGGTCCCAACTATAACATTCGCAATATACCGCCCATCTACGTCAGAAGTCTCGTCCAAGGAAACCCATATCTTGTTGTCAGCAACAGATGTTCGAATCTTATTTAACATATCTTCATAACATGTAGAGAGATAATTCTTTCTTAACGTCGATTCACTTGGGATAGGATGACTAGTGTATGTCTCCAAAAATTGTCTGAAGTGCTGATTATGCAATTTCTCTAATGGAATATTCGAAGATACCATCCACTGACACAAATCCTTCGAAAATTCCGACCCATTGTTCGTTGAAGAAGGTGAAGGAGAAGGAGAAGAAGAAGAAGAAGAAGAAGAAGAAGAAGAAGAAGAAGAAGAATTAGTGGAACTGTTTTTAAACAACAAACTTTGTCTGCTATCCTTTGTAGATAATCTGCTTAAACATTTACCATGTTTAAAAGTTTTACAATGCTGCTGCACAGTAAATCGCTTTTCTGCCGTAACTTTCACGCCACACAACTTACAATAAAATATCTTGCCATCGGTACTAAACACTTTTTCACCAAACTCCTGTACAAAACTACGCAACTTTGCGCTCCTTGAACTACATGTACTCACTTTAGGCATTGTAAAGTCAAACTGAAGTCTTATAACGCCCTCCACATATATAAATAGAATACTTCTAAGCCCTCCAAGAAAGAATGGGATGTATATACCTTATAGTAAGACGGAGTACAATAGGAGAATACCCGTTACACTTGCCTCCCTCCTGCCTCGACTGGGAAAGGCCGGCTTGCCAGGTCATAAATGCTGCATTTCACAAATTTTCGCCTTTGTAACTGCAAGTACAGTCCAGTCAAAAATATGGTTTTTAATACGAACTTCATGTACTTGAACTCTATTCCACATTGAAGCAACAGTCCAGCCTGAAATTTATTTTGTAATACTAAACATTATGGAGCCGAAATTTTACATTATATCAAAAAATTGTTTCTAAAATGACAAAAATATGACCTTATTTCAAAATTATGCCAAAATATGCTGTAAAACCAATAAAACTCTAAAATATGCATTTATATGCACAATAAAAACGACATAATTTCAATAAGAATGACTGGAAACATGCATAATTACATTTAAAAATAGGAATAAACCCTAGGAAAAAAATATGACATGTCATAGAAATCCGGGCCCTACTGATATGACTAACATGGAACAACTGAATTGGAGTGTTTAATGAGAGAAACCCTTACACTGAACAACATTAAATGAGGGTTATCATGATGTACAGAATTTGAAGAACTGGTTCAGATTGGTGCCGTGTATTCTTGGTTTTAACCGACGTTATTTGCATCATGATTCACCTGCCCTGAAGATGGAGGCGATACGTTCTTCCGAAACGTTGGTTAAAACCAAGAATACACGGTGCCAGATCCCAGAAGACAACTTTCTTCATAGTCATCGCCGTGAAAACCTCAAAACTTACATGGTCAGATCCTTTCTTCAGGTGACTTGCCGTCATTACATTAAGATATTTTTATTGTATAACATTCTGTGGCTTTCAATTCTGATCTCAACTACTGCCATGAATCTACAGAAATAAAGGCGTTCTGACCAGAACTCATAAAGTATACTCTTCTACAGTACAGATTTCTAGTCTAACCCTATTATTACCATTATTTTATTTCTGCAAAGAACTTACAACTTCTGCAGGGATTTTGTACATGTTAGATCTGCTGGTTATAACCTCACAGTTTCACATCACTGCCATGTTTATAACTGTTGATTTGCAATATTCCACAAAAATTTGTAGATATGTTTATGATCAATTTCCATAACTTTCATGTGCCTAGCTGCAACAGTTACTTAATTACTGCCATCAAAACAAATGCGAAAAAAGCTTTAATATGGTCGTGATTTGTTCAAATGTTATGTTTCTGGATATTATCCACTGTCCTGTTTTTATTTAAAAACACAGTCCTGTTTATATTTCAAAACACAACGTTTCAGAGACTGGATTCTGTCTCAGTAGGTCTGAATCGACAGAGCTAGTCCTTAACTCTGGGAGATAGGTACTACCTCTACTGACTGGGCCGAACTGAGTATGTTTTACCTGAAGATGGACACGGAACCAACAACACTTTGGAGATTGGATTCTGTGCCAGTTGGGCCTACAATTAGTGATGGGGATATTCAATGAACTCCCAAAATGACATGTATGTTAAAGACACACACCTTATTTATGAAAATAGTTTCCCAGTATTCTCACACAGAGACACATAATGCACTTAACAGGTGTGTTACTTTTGACAAGTTTGCCCATATGCATATGAACTTTCTTTTTTAAAGAAGGGGGAGGGGATGGCAGCAGCACTAAATACAGCCCAAAGAAAAGATTATGTTTAACATAAAGCAGTGCAATGAATCACCGACTCTCAGACCTCGAGAGCATCAGTTCAAGGGTTGCACAAAGTTTGTTTGTTCTCAGTTCCAAACCTAACTTGCAAGGTAAAAGCTACTATGAGCTCTCAAATTCCTCTTTTCACNTTCACCCCCCCCCCCGCCCCAAAGTATTAATATTACGGTTTGCTATAAACAATAGTGTTTTATTCTTACATAGTGTAACTGCTGAACAGGAACGAACAACTTGTAATGATCAATATTACTGGTCACAAAAGAGCTATTTATTCCAGAGTATCAAGATATAGCAACAATAAAACATCTCTTTAGTAATACAACAAATGACAGGCACCCCATTTTAGATTGTATAATTGTTGCCCAACTTGAGACTGTTTTCAAAAGGAAGTTTCAGCTACAAAGTAAGGCATACACAAAACTACACAGCTCCATTTCTTGAAATTGCTTCAAAAGTGGAACAGTGAAACTTCATGAACCATGGCACATCTTTATGAACATTAACTGTAACATAATAAAACATTCATAAACAGCTAGTTTTACTCTGAGTCAAAACATTCAGTTTCTTTTACTTTTATATGTGTACATACAAAATTATTCATTTACTGATTTTGGTTTATTAATTGGCTTAAAGTTGATTCCAAACTGCATGGCTGTCAAAACATTAAATGGACGAAACCAAAACTTAAACTACACCTAACTTCTGGCAGTAAGTGGCATTTCCTCTACTGTAGATGTAATGGTTACGTCATGACTACACTGCCCCAGAGACTCTTTTATGAAAACAGGGCTAACAGTTTACTACATTCATACACATGGTACAACAAATCTAGAAATATAATGGCTGACAGTTCACAGCCTTTGAAAGGAAACATTGTCTTCTAATTATTATATAAATATGCCATGTTATTGTATTACAACTATCCAACTCCTTTCTTGCTACAGCTGTATCTAGAAATAAAATAATCAGCAAATGGGCACTGCTTATAGAAAAAATACCATGCAAATACACACCTATCTTAATGTTGAATATTCATCATTTTTCAGAAATATTTTAAATTCACTGCGTTTAATTTCAGGCTGAATATGCTGTAAAACATGGACTCGGTGGTGTCATGATATGGAGTTTAGAAACAGAGGACTTCTTAGGAAAGTGCAACGGTTACAAGTACCCTCTGCTCACTGCAATAAATCGTGTGTTATTTGGTGGTGTCACTGTAAGTACTATCTCACACTGAACAGTGATAAGGAAAAAAAGTGATACTATGAATGTAAAAATCTTCCACTTTTTTTCTACATGAAGATCAAATTAAACTTCACCAATTTTCTTACTGAATAAATAATTTGTATGAGACCTAAAATATACACTTAACTGAAGGGCACAACTTTTACTTGAAAAATTTTTTCAATATGATGAATATTTAAAAAATATTCTGAAAAATAAGTTGTGAATCTATGCAATGTTACATCTGTAATTTAATTTGCTTTGCACCAGGACAATGTAGTTGAAACATATGAATATCAAGGTGAATGAGGCATGCACTATATCAAAAAATTTCATTTGAAAAACATGTGTATCGCACTGGAATACAACTCTCCACTCTTAATTCTTATAAAAGTAGATTACATTATTTAGACAAATAAGAACTGAGTGAAGCTTGTCACAATGAATGTGTTCAAGAATTTTCTCCAGTTGTATATGCAGCGTTGCAGTATATATGAAGACCTGACTTTTAGTCATTTTGCTGATATGAATGTAGAAATTCCACCACACAGATATAATCATTATACATTATGAGCAGGATTTTGGGGCGGGGGGGAAGAAAAAGAAAAAGGGATTAGTATAATTAGTGAATAGGTAAAGTTGTGCCTGTGCTTAAAAAATTTCCCTTAGTGGAGGGGTGGAGTCCAACTGGGTTGGTCCACTTGGCACGGTGGCCACTGATCGGCCTATTGTACCCGCCCCGGGTGATTATGATGGAGAATTTGGTGGAATGGAGATTGGCAGGGGAAACGAAGTACCCGGAGAAAACCCGCCCCAGCACCACTTCGTCCTCCACAAATCCCACTTGACCAGACCTGGGCCGCTGCGGTGGGAAGCCAGTGACCAACCACTTGAGCTATGGTGCGGCCGTGCCTGTGCTTAACTAATTAAGCATTATGCCATAAAGACATAGAAGGGAGTGGAGGTACAGCTACAGCATTTTTGACCTTGGCTCTAGACGGGGGTGAGTGATCAAGTTTACACCATACACCATGGCTGCTTTGTCCCCCAGCAGCCAATGGAGTGGCTGGGTAGGCCTCAGAGCTCGTATGGACATTGCCCCTCTTAGGGACTGAAACCCCACCACCCAGCCTGTCACTATACCAGCTGGGTTATCTTGACTTCCAGTACAGTTAGTTCTGAATAAAATTAACAATACCTACTTATTCTTGCCTCCAAATATATAATAAAACAGCTTACTGCATACAACATTTGTGTTAATCAAAGATACTCATCTAAACTCCCTCAACCAATTACTTGAAGTGACCTCTTTGCCCTTCAGTGTACAAATTCATGCACTGAGCCAAATGAGTATTTTCTTGAGAAGGGGTTTTACACGTGGATTATAATGACGAATACATACACATCACATAGGTGAAAACCACACTTCCTGAAACAAGGATCCACACAGAATATAAAATATTAACCTCTCTACTAGGCACATCATTCACTCACTCACTCATGGAGCTAAGCCCTTCTTGAGACACTACCAACTGTGCAGCTGCTCAAGAACTTCCCAGCATTTTATGGAACCTGAAAGTTTTTTACTGTGTTCACAAAAGCACTCCACTGGTTCCTATCCTGAGCCAGATCAATCTAATCCATACCATCCAACCCAACTCTCTAAGATTCAATTTAATATTGTCCACCCACCTATGTCTTGGTCTTACCAGTGGTCTCCTTCCTTTAGGCTTTCCCACCAATATCCTATATGCAGTCCTCCTCTTCCCCATTCATGCTATGTGCCCTGCTTATCTCATCCTCCTTGACTTGATCATTCTAATTATAATGGAGAAGAGTAAAAGTTATGAAGTCCCTCATTATGCAGTTTTCTCCAACTTTCTGTCACCTTATCTCTCTTCGGTCCAAATATTCTCCTCAGCACTCCGTTCTCAAACACCCATGCAGTCTATGTTCCTCCTTTAAAGTCAGAGACTGGGTTTCACACCCATACAGAACCACAGGCAAAATTATAGTTTTGTATATTCAAATCTTTAAGTTTTTAGGCAGCAGATGAGGAGACAAAATGTTCTGAATTGAGTGATAGCAAGTATTACCTGAGTTCAGTCACCTCTTAATTTCCTCCTGAATCATTTTGATTTGTTATAGTCATTCCCAAATATCTGAACTGTGCCACATTTCCAAAATATCTGTTACCTATCCTTTATTATCAAAGTATCCATCAATAATGCAACAATTTAAAAGACATTAGGAATATGTTTCACACTAAAAGTGTATTTCAACATTTTTTGATATAATTTTTCCCTTGAACCCAACTGCTGATTCATCTATTGCAATGTTTTTACCTGGTACAAAATATTTCTGAAACTGTTACTCTATATGTTCTATCACTCCGGGTATTTTCGTTCTTTTGATAGCCTGACTTCTGTCTTTATTTCCCATATGCATCACAAAAATATCTGTAAAAAGCAATCTCTAGATATTACACCACCAAAAGAATTTTATCTGCATTGTCCACTCACTACGCTAGCAGTCTTTTATGTCAGGCAATGGGATTAGGCCCATATTTACAATTAGACCTAAAACACTTTCACTTTGGGAACAGACACATAAGACCACCTACTCCATATGGACCTCAAGCTTAGCTGAAGTTCTGCAGTTTTGTGTCTCGCATACCTGTTTGTCTATTCAGAAGCTCATCAATGAAAAATAAATTGAAATAATTCATAGACTCTGCATCTGGTAAAGGTTAAATTGCGGCCCTGCATTTTTAGTAAATGTGTACGCCTTGGGTTTCTTGTTGCCCACTGTCATGTCTTCCCACCCATCAACACACACAACACGTTGCTCAATTCTTCACTTGCAGTTTCTCCTTCAATTTCCAAATCCATCTCATCATCAGAGTTAATATCAAGTCCATTTAACATATCACTATTAGATTCTTCATCTGTATCATACAAGGGATTATGTTTCTGTTTTTTGAAGCCAGAAGAGCCAGGTTTGCTCAACTGTAAAGCCATGACATGCTGTAATATACAAATAACATTCGTTCCTCAATAAGTTCAAATTATGACTTCCAGATGGTGCAGATGTGTTGGCATAGCATACAGTGGACAGTAGTGACACATGAGACATATGACCTGAGAAATGCGAAAGAAACTTTGGACATACAACTGGAAAGGATTAATGCTTATTATTACACCTGTTATTTCCCATTATATTTACACAAAATGGATAACTCAGTCATGTATTCTTAACTGCAACTGTTACAATTATCACAAGACATTAATTAAACATCTTGCTATGTGGCAAGCATAAAAAATCACTGATTTCTGTATCCATGGCAAAAAAAGTTCTTTAGTTCATTGGTGAGTCAGAGACAGTCAGTTACCAAATAAGGATCCATTTCGGTTGCTACATTTCTTTGATTTCTTCAGTCAGTTCCACATATCAATTAATTCTGCTTCCATGAAAGGTTTGGAGATTATGATTTAGTAGTACTGCTGCATCAGTATCAACTTCTCTTTCTTTCTTTCTCACAAGTAAGTTTGGTCAACAGGCCTATATTTGTACATGTACTGTACTATCCCAGTGGCATATGTAGTAGTGTTTTGCCAGTACTTCAGTTGGTGGATATTTGAACTAAGGCACATCAGTAAGAAGTTTAATGTGTTTGGGTGGTATACTGTATTGGTTACATTTTCTGTTATTGCAATTGTTATTGTTATTATTAATTCATTTTTTACAAACTATTTTCTAATTTGTAAGATCTGAGGTTTTCACAGTGGTTACTATGAAGAATTCCATCTTCTGGGATGTGGTGACATGCAGATCTTGTGTGAACTGACGTTTTGGAGGAACATATCACCTCCAACTTCAGGGTAGAAAAAATATGTGAGCAAGGAACCAGCGTGAGTAGGTGGCTGCAGACTGAGCCACCAGTCAAACACACCCAGCTATATAAGAACAGGGATGGAGGGCAGGAGAGTGGGCTACGTGGGAAGTCAATAGAGACTGTAGAGATGGGCGAGCAGGTAGCAAGGGCTACCAAGTGGGTACTGACCCAGTAGCCTCGGGACTAAGCTGCCTCAAGAAACCTCCTGAACATGACACCAGATCTACAGGGCTTGCTCGATAGCCTTGGACTCCCCCCCCCCCAAAACAACAGCCCTATACCGGCCCCACACAGT